ACTGGAGTGAAAAATTTTTTGGGATTGATACACAATTTTTTTTTTTTTTTTTGATGTACATACCAAAACCAAGTTACACTTTTCTTAAAGGTGAATTTTATGGGATGTGAACTATTTTCTGACTTTCTTTTCTTTTCCTTTTTTTTTTTGGTACTGGGATTGAATCAAACTCAAGACCTTGCACTTACCAGGCAGGTGCGGCACCACTGAGCTACATCCCTGACCCTATATTCCAACTTTAATAAAATCCCTTTCTTTTTTCTCAGTGCCATTTGATGGGCATTTATTGGGACAACAGGTATAAGCACAGCAAGACAGGGACAAAAGAAGGCCCTACTACAAAAAGCAGAAGTATGAGGTTGGAGGCCCCGCTGCCAACACTAAGATTGGCCCCCACCACATACACAGTCCAGAGTGTGAGAAGGCAACAAGGAGTACCATGCCTCAGGTTGGATGTGGAAAACTCCTGGGCTCTGAGTGCTCTACTCAGAAAAACATGGGTCATTGATGTTGTCTACAACGTATTCAATAAGGAGCTGGTCCACACCAAGACCTTGGTGAGGTATGGCATTGGGCTTATTGTCAGCACACTGACGAGGGCACAAATCACATTATGCACTGTCCCCGGGCCAGAAGAAGGAAGCCAAGCTGACTCCTGAAGAGGAAGAGATTTTAAACAGAAAGCGAACAAAGACAATTCAAAAGAAATACAATGAAAGGAAAAAGAACACCAAAATCAGCAGTCTTCTGGAGGAGCCATTCCAGCAGGGCAAGCTTCTTGCCTGGCATCAAGACCAGGCCAGTGTGACCGAACAGATGGCTAGGTGCCAGAGGGCAAGAAGCTGGATTTCTGTCTGAGGAAAATCAGGGCCTAGGAAAGCAAATAAGTCTCCTCCCTCTGGAGCACATGTAAGAAAGGTGTTTAATATTTTGTGAAAATAAAACAAAACTAAAGTCCTTTCCCATACTGTCAGTTACCATTCTTCTACAAATAATGGAATTTAAGAGGATAGATATCATATGCAAAATGTCTATATCACAATTGTTAAAAGAACATATTTAAATGATTATAAATTACAGTAAAGAACAAGCTACAAATCTAATCAAGAAAAAGAAAAAAGAGCCATGTATGCTAGTGCATGACTATAGCCCCAGCTATTGGGAAGGCTGAGGTGGGAGGACTGAAAGTTCGAGCAATATAGCATGACTGTGTCCAAAAAAAGTGAGGGGGCATTTTCCTTGAAATTCTCCAAATCAAAATTTTTCTGCATTCTTTTATTCTTTCTCTAAACTACAGGGAAAGAGTAGGTAGGTAGGAAAGATGGGCTATAATACCTGGTCCTTTTCTCTCAACCACTTTGATTAAACATTGAGGCTCACCCTCATTTACTAAATGACAAGAACTTGCTCTGCATAGCATAAAGCTAATTGGAGTACAGCTCTTGTTATGATTTTTAGCAATTCTGTTTTCAATAGGCACTTTACATGAGTGAAGGAAGAAATGATTTGCAAATAATTAGATTAAGAGATACTGATGATTGATATTCATATAGCAAAGACTCAGGTTTGAATTTTAGTACTACAGTCCCAGCAATTTTAATACTTAGAAAGTTCTGCAGTTTTAATTTATTATCTGTGGGGCTGGGCATACACTGGGAAGGCAAGAGCCTGATATTCCCACAGAGGACAGTAGGAAAATGGAGATTGTATTTGTATGTGCATGTTAAGGGGAGATTAGTAACACAAAAGCAGAGGAAGAGGCTGCCAACAGTTTGTGTATCCCCTCCAAGAGTCCTTATTACTCTAGTAGGAACACTGTATTCCAAGTTCAGTGTTACCATTACCTATTTTGAAATGGATAAAGTATTTTCAATTAGAAAAACTTCAGCTAGAAAAGATGAATGTTCTTTTAGAGCCACAAACTTCAGAAAGAAATTAAGAGAGGTGTTGGGAAAACGTTGGAGAAATGAAAGAGGTCTGAAGAAAATGTAGCAGCCATGATGGAAGCAATTACACAGCTTACAATGAGTATAATCAGTTCACCGAAACACTTCTTCAATCAGTGGGTACTTTCCTATGGAAATGTGACTTGGTAGACAGGAGACTACTATCAGACAAGAGGAAAGGAAAAAGCTGGGCACGGTGGCACACATCTGTAATTTCAGCATGGGGGGGGCGCTGAGAAAAGATCACAACAAGTTCAAGCCAAGCCTACAGAATTTAGTAGGATTCTGTCTTAAATAAAACATTTTAAAAAGGCTGTCTGGAAATGTAGCTCAGTGTGAAGCCCCTGGGTTCAATCCCCAGTGCTACAAAGAAAAAAAAAAGGAGGAGGAGGGAGGAACAAAAGGAAGGAAAAGGAGGAGGAGGAGGAGGGGGAGATGAAGAGGAAAAAGGAGGTGTAAGGGAGAGTAAAGGGGGATGAGTATGACCAAGATACGTTGTATTCATGTAGGAATATGCCACAATAAAACTCAGTCTTGTAAAATTAATACATACTAATATAAGAAAAAAATGTGACTTGATTTGATGAAGCCACCGCAGAGTGAACAAAGGATATTACTCTTCCAACGACTAATCATTAATATGCAAGTCTAGATGCTCAGGTGCCAATGTTAGAGAAACCAACAATAACAGCAGGAGAAACTCATTTACACAGCATTTTACTAACTGCAAAGTATTTTCATTCCATTGCTCTACTCTACAAATCTTTGCCACTCACTCAGCTTCTTCCTGTTCACATCTGCCAGATAACCTTGGTATATCCCCAAAGCCTGCAGGCCACATACCTGAGTGTACTTGCGGAAAAACACCCCTTGCACCTTCCCAAAAACTTCATAATCCACGGATACCAAGGTGTCTCCTTCTGCCATGCTCAAACCTGTCAAGAGAGCAGGGAAACAAAATTAAAGGACTACTCCCGAACCCTTAGCTCTCCATCCATCACTACTGCGATCTCAAAGTTCTCAACTGCAAGAGGGGGCGGACTTGCAAACGCCAGGCAAGAAGTGAGAGGGAGCTTCTCCAAGGCACGGAAGCCTCTTTGGGACAATGACCTCTTCACCGTCACGCTGGCCCGCTCCCTCCCACCCATTCCTCTTCTCGGCCGCCAGAATCCCCTTCCACTAACTTTTCACGGCCAATGGAACTGACCGGCACGCCTTGGGCCCTCTCCCGTTCACCCTCCTCGTCTTCCCCGGGGCGCCGGACCACACAGGAGACCTCCAAACCGACCACCCTCCGGCCGCGCCGGGCAAGCTGCCGCTACCGGAAGTTTAGAGTGTAGCCTCCTTCGGAGCCTTTCAAGCCCATCACCTCGGCCGAACCAATCAGAGTTTAGGCCTCGGCCCCGAGCCCGCCCAGAGGGTGGGATTTTAGGATGTGATTACATCCGCAAAGGTGTGAGCCGGGCGTTGGGGGATCTGTCCAGGGTATGGCTCGGCCTCCGGAGATAAAGGCCCCACCCCACCTCAGTTATTAAGCGCATCCCTATTCTCATTTTCTCCTGGGAAGATGAACATACATTCATACATGCAATAAATACCGATTGACAGACTGTTGTATACCAGGCACTGTTCTAGGCGGTCAGCATACATCACTGAAGGAAACAATTTTCCAAAGTACATAACCACAAACCATTAAGTGATGGAGCTGGGACTTAGTTCCAGGTAGTCAGTCCAGAGTCCATTCCTATAAATGTAATGCTCCACAACTTTCCAGTATGTGGAGACTAGCATAAGACAGTATCCCTGAGATGAGAGAGTACAAGCAATCAGTTGTGGTAGACCAGGACCTCTCAATCCTGGCTGCATATTAGGACCTTTGGCAACACTTCTAAAAATTTCAATGCCCAGACCTCATGCATTTCAACTTTATTCTACCGGTAAAGAAGCCATTATGTAAGGGAAAAGATAGGATCAGAAATATTTAGTAATTAGCCACACTTAGCTGTTTCACGATGTATACATAGATCAAAACATCACACGGTACACTGTAAACATGTACTATTTTTGTCATCTGTGTCTTAACGAAGCTGGAAAAGAAGTACATAGGATCATTATTCTGGCAGCAGAAACAAAGCTAGGCTTGGAGAGATGCTGAGGTCAAGCCCCTCGAAGAGACTGACATCATCCAGTGAAAAGTTAGGAAAAGCTCACCTACGGCAGCACAAATGTAAAGAAGGGTCATACAGATATAATGAGAATAAAGGAACTTGGCAGAAACTTCAGGTCAGTTAGAAGGAAGAAAGGGCAAAGAGGGAGGCGTGGAAGAGGACTGATGCTTTGAGCAGGAGAGGGAACTTGGAGAAGCGGCAGACTGGGGAATGGCGCGATGATCAGGAATCTGTGCTCTGTCACATTGAGTTTGAAGTTCACTAGGGATGGTCATGTGATGGTGTTGAATGGGCAGCTGGAAAACTGAAACAAAGGAGTGAGACTACAATTAGGTTGGATATCATTTAACCACGAGTGCATGCTGAAATTTTATCATTTAGCACAAATATATATACACACATACACATATATATGGGGTAGATGGGGAAAAGACCTAAATGCCAGAGACCTGGGAGAAGACAGGAAAGACATGAAAGAAATCAAGACAACAAAAGAGCAAGTGAGAAAGGGTTCTTAGGGGGTGAATTACCAGTTATGTCAAGTGAGTATGCTGATGAAATGAGAGTTTGTCACCTAGGGCATTTATGCTGCCCTAAGTGAGCTATGGGAATGTCGGAAGTGCAGTACTTAAATAAATGGGAAAGGGCAGAAGCCAGACCCAGACAGTAGAGTGGATGTTGCCAGAGGATGAGGAACTAGGGGCAGCAAATATAAAAATTTCTGTTAAGAAGCCTCAAGGAGAAGAGAAGAAAGGAATGAAACTGTAACATAGAGGGGCAAGTAAGGAAAATTAGGCTTGTTATGTAGGGGAAAGTTAAACATATTTTAAAAGCCAAGAAGACGCTGTAGAACTTAGTAAAATGGTGGGGTAAAGCAACAGTGTCAATGCCTGGAGAGTTTTGAAAGAAACTTACCCAAGAGAAGTCATGGAAAGAGAGAGACCTTTCTTCAGAAACCAGAAAGCAGTCAGAGAGGAGGCATGCTGGGAAACTCTGCCAGACTGGAGGGGAAATGTGGGTGTTGATGAGAGCTAGGGGAAAGGCTGAGTGAGGTAACTGGGGCCTTGAGTAGTGAGAAATGTCTGCAACTGCACACAGGACGGCAGAAGAGTCAACTAGGACTAAAAACAAGGAATAAAAGAACTGCCCTGGAGGGCCCACCAAGGAAGCTCTTTATAACATTTAAATGCCGTGATCGGTCATGCAGTATTTACACCGCCTGCTGCTAAGTCATTTTCCTTGTGCCTGAATCTTGTGAGTAGTTAAAAGGGGAAAAGTGAACTGCCTATTCCAAACAGCTTACTCAAATGAACTGAGCCACGAAGAAGACAAATAAACTCTCTTGTGAAGTCAAAAAGTTATAGAGCATCATTTAGTGTTGAAACCAAGTGATGCCAATTATTTTCCATTTGGTGGTTAACTTTATTATCATTACAATTGGCTGAGTCATTCTCGGGCCCTAAGAACAGACAGCCATGGTGACCACGTGAGAGTAAAACATAATATCCAAATGCACTGGCTACAAAAAAACGACCTAGGATACTATGTAGTAACGTAACCGCTAGCTCCAAAGTACTGGGAAGGGAAGAAACCATGATGAGCAGATAGCCGTACCTGGGGCCAGTACTCAGCAGCCGAGCGTGCTAAGAAAGGCCAGCAGCAGACCCACTCCCGCTCACCCAGCGGACACCGGAATCCCGCAGCGGGATGACTCGGTAGCACATCTAGGGGTCCCGCCCTTTGCCAGAGTCGGGCACACCCCAAATTCTGGGAGCATTATTCTCAGAAAAATACAAGTTCTTTTTTGATGTCGTCTCAGAACAGCCTCTCCCGCCCTCCCCCGTTCCCCAAGGACAGGGCTGAACTGAGCTGAAGAGTTGGCGAGACACTGGGTCAAGTGACACTCTGGCCGACCGCACACCCTGGCAGAGGAGCCCCGGACCGTGCGCAGATTATTCGCGGACTGCGCCTGCGCCCACCTCCCCCTTGGCGGGGCCCCGCCTACTCTGCACTCCCGTCTCCAGGCAACCAGGATAACAGCGGCCAACTGAGAGCGCCTGCGCGGTCGTGAGGTGGCGGGTGGGAGGGTGAGCCATGGCTGGGTAGGTCCTGGGCTTATCCCTGAGCTGGAGCGGTCCCCAAGAGCCTCGGGTACGCGAAAGGGCGGGGAATCCTGAGGTCAACACCTCGACATTCCGAGGGGCAGTAGAGCGAAGGGCTTGTCCTCAAAGGCGGAGTCCCCAAGTGAGGGCTTCCTCTGGACCCTCCGGGACAGAACAACCTGCGTTCCGGATTAGAGCTGGCTGCGTCCAGGTCGGGTGGCCCCCGCCTGTCAGGTGACAAGCCTTTTTAGGTCTGTGCTTGGATTCGGGTTTGACAGCCAGGCACTTGCTCCATACCCCGACGGGGCTCCATACCCTGCTCTTTGGAGTCCTGTACGTTCCAGCAAGACGGAAGCTCAGTGCCAGGCCCTATCTCTGGGCCACAGTTTTCTTACCTGTAAAATGGTGGGGCGAGGCTCAGAGTGAACATTTCAGTTTACAGGTGAAAAACTGGGGCCATCGAGGGAAATTGCTTGTTCTGGGTGTTGGGGCTAAAACCTGACCGCTGCTCTTTCACCTGCTACATAAGAGTATGTCAGAGACTAGTACTGGTGGAAAGGAAAACTAGGTGACAGGAACACCTGTATCCCATGTGTTGTTCTGTCCTCACGGGCCTACCACAGTATCTGGCACATAACCATTACCCAGCATATTGAACATTCTGGCAGGTCCAGCACCACTGTCCCTAGAAGTTTAAGGTAAACGTGGGTGAGGCAAATGTAGAAAGAGTTTACTTTAGCAACTGGGAGTGAACCTCAGACAAAATCTTCACATGTATCTGGTTTGAATCTCCCCTAGGCTTCAGGCCAAGCCCTGAATGGCTGGTCTCCAGTTGGCTCCTCAACTGTCTGTGGGCGTTATGTTCCCACATAATAAAACAGCTGCTCCAGGGCTCCACTCAGCCAAGCAAGACCCTTATGAACAAGGTGACTCTTCCCAGCAGTCCTCGATGGGGCACTTGAAGAGTTTTCAGAAGAAGCCCTTGAGCAAGAAGGAGCTGGCACTGGATAATGTCTACACTCACCCCAAATGGAACACCTGCGCAAAAGCCGAGAGCTACTTCCATTCCCACTGTGCTGGAATCAGCCAGCGAAACTCGGGAAGTAATCCCCAGAGCCAAGGAAAGGGCTTCTTGTACTCTTCAAGCCCTCAGCCCGGGTATCCCAAAGCAAATGACCAAGAATTCATCCCCTTTACAAAGAAGCGAGTTGGGGTGGACCGGGCCTACCCCTTGAAGCCCATGGTTCACCGGAAGTCTTGTAGTACAGGGGAGGCTGGCAGTTACAGAGACCAGAATGTCTACCCAAGACCCCCTGAGCCAAGAGAATTTTCAGACAGCAACTTTGGTTTGAGGAGTTGGGTGAATTCATCAGTTCTGGTTTCCATGCAGGCGGAGCCCATGGCAAACATCCACAGGACCCACTGGATGCATCTCCAAAGACTAGAAGCTGCAGGGGAGAGCTTAGAGGAGGAAATCCGAAGAAAGGAGAGTCTCCTGAGGGAAAAGCTGAAGAAGACAGAGGAAGAACTCAGAAGGATCCAGAGGGAACAAGAACAGGCCAAAGAAAATGAAGAGCGAGAGCTTCAGAGAATAATACAACTCAGAAGAGTTAAAGGCAGTAACACCACCACCACTACATACAAGCCTGTCTTTTCCCTAGAATTTGAGACTGAAGAGGTGTTCAGTAGAGACAGGAGAGAGGATGAAACTTGTGGACAGCCTCAGGAAAATTCTAATTCAATCCAGCTCTCTGATTATGGAATCCAGAAGCTCAAAAAGGAAAGGCTAGTGGCAAGCAATAACAAAATCCGAGATCAAGCCTCAGGGCCATTGGTGGAAAAGTTCTTTCAGCCTTCAGAAGAAGCAGGCAGTAATTTGCAGGGATCCACCAGAAGTTCTAGCTTGTCCAGAGCGCCAGAGTCCTTGGATTCCAGTGGCTCCACTGAGGAGCCAGAGCTGGGCAAGTGCAGCCACTGTGGGCGCACATTTCTCTTGCGCAGGCTGGCGAGACACTCCACCATCTGCAGCAAGATGCAAGGTTCCAAGAGGAAAGTGTTTAACTCCTCCAGAGCCCGGGCGAAGGGCACAGAACTAGAGCAGTACTTGAACTGGAATGGGCCAGCCACAGTCAAGGTAACACGGGCCTCATGGATCTGACTTTGTGTGGGGATCGTTGTAAGACCCTGTTATGTCCTCTTCAGTTTTCTTTAGGGAAAACTCAGGTGCCACATGGGGTGAAGGTGAGAACATGTCTTGATTACTACTGTGTGGCAGTCACTGTGTCAGATTTCCTGTGATCCTCATAATTCTATGAGGATCTCATCATCTCATTTTATCAATTCAAAAATTAAAACTTGGAGGGCCAGGAATGTGGCTCAGTGGTACAATACCTGCCTGGCAAGCTCAACTGCCTGCGTTTGATTCCTGGTACCCCCACAACCGCCCCCCCCAAGTTTGGAGATGCATACTCATATATCAAGCCTTGTACAGGCTTGTAACTTTCATGAAGTCACAGCTTTAAGTGACAGGGTCAAAATGTGAATCTTAGTTGGATTAATTCTAAAATCTATTGAAAATATCAAAATCTAAAAGACTTAATATAAAAATCTAAAAGTAATATGTTTTTAAAATTGATAAATTTAAGAACATGATAAATCTAAAGAAAAAGCTATATGCAAAATGTTTCTTGGTTTGCCAAGACAACTTCTTGCTCTTTGCAAAATACTCTGCTACCTCCTGAGACTAGGATCTGTTACCACTCCTTTAGCTGTATCTGTTCTTTCAAATTTAGCTTGATTTTGATACACCTTAGTAAATACATAAAGTACAACTAAATTTGGAATTACTTTCTCCTTATTTAGAGTATAAACATCTGCAGGGTAAAAGACTCTCCTTTTGGCTATCTTTCAAAATATCACTTAGAAAAACCAAGTTATTAAGATTTTCAAGACACATACATTAAGTTCAGGAGAATTTCATAGGTATATTTGGACAAATTTGGGTAAGATTGTCTCAAAAATGACTATCAAGTTATGCCACTTGTTTTATAAAATGAGTATTTCTCAAGCTGTTGTATACTGACAATTTTTATTTTAGTAGTTTTAGTGTGTATTAGAGGAAATATAATAGCATATTAAGCCTGTACTTTTTGGGGATCATGAATTTAAAGAAAAATATTAGCTGGGGATTTAGCTTAGTGGTTCCACTTCCTGCTTCACAAATGTAAGGACCCAAGTTCAATCCCTGGTACAAAAAAAAAAAAAAAAAAAAAAAAAAAAAAAAAGGAGAATAAAGTGATCAAATTTAGGGTACACCTAGGCCATATGACTTCACAGACCTCATCTAGTTCTAATAGTCTGGAAAAATAAAGTGTATTATTTCCATTCCTTTTCTAACCCTTCCTCTGCTGTGTTGGTACTTCTTGTCCATCAGGACTTTACTGTTCCATGTACATTTATTGAGGCCTTTAAAAACTCACGTGAATGTAATGGTTGTTAGGAGATGTACAGTACTTTGCAATTAGAATTCTTTTAGTACAGTCTGGGAGATCATGACAAGAAAGTGACTCCCGTGTTCAGAGATAATGTAGCAACCAAAAGTAATCAACAGCTTGCCCTGGCAGATAATGATAGGCTAGTGTCACTGTTCTTTGTGGTTTTCTTTTTGGTCAGCCCAGTAATCCACTGGGGATTCCCTGTGTTCGACCACAGCACTTTATATTTGGCCAGAACCTAAAAGAATCTTGTGTTTCTTCAACTTCCTAAATATAGTGGCAGGGAAGCAAAAGGACTTGGGTTTCTGAGATCAGACACCCCAGCTTTGTGGAGACTAGTTTGAGGAAATGTGTTTTATTGAGGACACTGAGGCAGAAAGGACCTGGTTTGAGTCTTAGTCTAGAGCTCTGTGCCTTTGGAAACTGAGTGGTTGTAGCTCCATTGTTATTTCTCTAGTGTACTTACAAGAAGACGTTTTTTTTATTTTTTGGTATTGGGGATCAAACTCAGGACCTTGTGCTTGCAAAGCAGCCGCTGGAACCACTGAGTTTAATCCCCAGCCCAAGAAGTGACTTCTAAAAGTCTTTACATAACTTCCAGCAGACTTGCACATCTTGTCTACTGTGTACATCGGGAGCATCTGAGGACAGGGACCACACACATCTTTGTGCTTAATGTGTTAATTGAATATAATTTCGGTAAAAATTAAGAATTAAGGGGCTTAGGGGATTTATTTCAGTGGTTCTGCCACCTGCCTCGCAAGCTTAAGGTCCCAAGTTCGATCCCTGGTACCAAAAAAAAAAAAAAAAAAAAAGGAATGTACAAGAATTAAGGGGCTTAATGTGTAGCTCAAGGATACGGCATTTGCCTAGCATGTCTGAGACCTTGGGTCAAGCCCCAACACTAGGGAGAAAAATTAAAATATAAGTATCATCATATATTTGGTGAACCTTTCCTTCTGAATTCTTGTTTCTGGATACCATCTCTAATGCCAGCTCTCTGTTTCTGTTTCAGGAAGAGACTTTCCTGATGGATCTTTCCTAATCCTTTAATAGCAACTCTTGCTGTTATCAAAAGCTATTTGTCTTTTTTTCCTTTTGTTTTTTGAGACAGGTTCTCACTATGTAGTTGAGACTGATCTGGAACTCACTATGTAGCCCAGGCTGGTCTTGAACACACAGCGATCCTCCTGCCTCAGCCTCCCGAGTGCTGGGATTACAGGCATGCGCCACCACACCCGGCTTCCTTTTCCTTTTCTCATTCTTTAAAAATTAATTTAAAGTACTATTACATGTCTTTTAAAAATCATGTAGCACTAAGTCTATGATGCAGATCAGCAATATCCTGTCTTAGCCTTTTCTGGACTCTAGTCCAGCCACCGGTTCTCATAGACAGTTTTTCTGATAAGCATTTCCATATTCCCAAATAACATGGTTATTTTCTTGATTTGCCCATTTACTACATTATCGAATGACTTCTTATGGGATTGTGAGTAAAGCTGTCCTTCATATTCTACTTTTTTTTTTTTTTTTTTTTTTTGAGACAGGGTGTATGTAGTTCAGGCTGGCCTTGAACTCAGTATGTAGCTCAGGCTGGCCTCAAACTCCTGGGAATCCTCCTGCCTCAACCTCTCGAGTACTGGGATTACAGGTATGCTCCACCATGCCCAGCTCTCCCCTTAAATTTTGTACTCTTTTTCCTTCCACTGTAGCTGAACCACAATTTTGGATTAAACCAGTAGTCAGATTTTATGTGACTATGTAAATTTTGCTCACTGATGAGTGAACAAATTCTGCTCTTGCCTACATTTACTTGAAGTTGCTGATTTGTTTTCTACATACCTATCTCTAATTTTTTCCCTAAAGGATCTGACACCAGACATCTGCTAATGTTTTTATGAAGTTTTCAAATACTTCTCATAATGTATCAGTTTTATTTTTTAATTTCATTTTTGGTACCGGGGATTGAATTTGGGTCCTTGTGCTTGCAAGGCAGGTGGCAGAACCACTGAGCTGAATCCCCGGCCCCTTAAACTCTATATCCACTTGATTCTGGAGTGTCTTTTCTGAGGCCTACTACAGATCTGTTGTTTAGGCTTCTCTTCTCTCCTGTTACCGGAATCCTATGTCTTCTATTTTCTTGTTCTCCTCTTTGCTTTACTAAAAAATGTACACAGGAAGTATGTTTTTAAAAATTTTGCTATGATTATGCTGGATATTTGGTAAGCCATTTCAGTCTCAGAACCTATGACCTTTAATTCTAGGAATGATAATGAGTGAAAATATCCATATAATAATTTGATCAGGGAATAGAACTCTAGGTGGAAAATTATTTTATTAGTGCATGTAAGGCATTTACCACTAGCTTTTAGCATTTAGCGTTTACTGTTAAGAAACCAAATGCCATCTTGATTCCTGTTACCTGTTTTTTTTTTCTAAAATGTGTAAGAGTCTCTTTATTCTGAAATTTTATAATGATTGTGCATAATACTTGGAAAACTGCTTCAGTCTTAAGACTTATAGCCTTTGAGGAATGAGATATCGCTTCTTTAATAATTTTTTCCTTGTAATTTCTTTGTTATTTTTGAATGCCTATTGATGACCTGTTGGACTTCCTGGATTGCCTTTCTAATTTTCTTCTTTCCACTTTTTCTCCCCCTAAGGAATTCTCTTTGCATTATTTTACATTTCTATTTTGTTTTTACTCTTAGCTATCAAAGTTTTAATTTATAATCTATTTGGTTTTTTGGTTGTTTCTTTTAACAGTATACTCATTTTATGGACATAATCTCTTCTAATATTCACTTGATTATTATGTTTTCTGTTAGAAAAACTGTCATGGTGGTATATGCCTGTCATCCCAGTTGTCTGGGGAGGCTGAGAGAGAAGGATTGCAAACTTGAGCCCAATCTGGACAACTTAGGTCGACCCTATCTCAAAAGAATGAAAAGGCCTGGAGCCGTAGTTCAGTGGTAGAACATGCAAGAACATAGCATGCATGAGCCCCTGGGTTCCATCTCTGGTACTGAAAAAAAAAAAAGTTTTCATCTTGTTGCTGCTTCCTTTTTGTTTGTATACTTTTTGGAGTCTTCTTCTTGCTAGAGTTTTTATCAAATACCTGGTGACTGGTGGCCATCCTTTCATGTTCAAGCTTAAGTAAAGCTTGCTGACTAAGGTCCTTCATATTATGGCTGTCAACATAATGAGCTCTGTAACTGGGGCCCCCAAAGTTAGTATCTGAAGGCTGATCTCTAGACTGCTCAGTGCATCCTCCTCTTTCCTACGTGGATACCAGAAGGTTGACAGTTCCACAATTTGCTGTGTATACTTACACTTGCTCCCCATTTTCACCCTCAAGATTTACCTGTTTTCTACCATCTGGATTTCCTGAGTTTGAAACCCATCCAGTTCAATTTCTCTAGAGAATAAGTTCCAGGGCTGGGGATTTAGCTCAGTGGTTCCGGCACCTGTCTCACAAGTGCCAGGGCCCGAGTTTGATCCCCGGTGCCAAAGGGAAAAAAAAAAAAAGGCAAGAGAATAAGTTCCAGTTCTCTGAGGTGGGGATGTTGGACATGTGGATATACAGAGTAGAAGAGGAGTCTTAGGTGTCCACCTTATTTTTAGCCCTGTGTCTCCCTGCTTTCAACAACCTGCTTTCAAGCACTGGCACTCGCAGGGGTTCTGCTAGAAAAATGATTTGCCTTCCAATAGTAATCCCCCCTTGCAAGCCCTGGACCTGGCAAGTCAGTAACCACCATTGCTCCTTTCCTGTTCTCCTTGGCCCTATGGACTACCACCGTTTTTATTTCCTTCTGTCATTCTGATGGAGACTCAGGAAAGAGACGAGGTAAATGCCACACTGAGTGATTAATCTTTTACATTACAGGCTGAACCTCCTCAGAAGAACAACTGGAGGCAGAAACATGAATCTTTCATCCGTACCCTCCGTCAGGCACGAGAGATCCAGCAGGTCATTACCAAAGGTGGAAACCCCTCAGACTTGCCTCCCATCCAACCTGCAGAAAACCCAGACTGTTCAGTGTTCTCACTGTAGCCGTCACTTTGCTCCCAAGGTAGCTGAGCGACACATTCCCAAGTGTAAGACCATCAGGAGCCGTCCTCCGCCTCCAAGAAAGCACCATAGTTGAGCAGACAATAGTGGAAACCTCCTCAGTTTAGAAGGCTCTGCTTCTCTGCAATAAATAGGACTAGAATATTTTGATATAAAGCAGAGAAAAATACTCCTGAAACTTTTACATTACACAACTTTGCTAAAATCAGGGAGGACGGAGCTATTGCTAAGCAGCAGGAGGCAGAAGGAAGCCCAGCTTCCCACTAAATTACAACCTCAGCTGGTGTTTCTCATGTTCACTGATGGGTGGAGACACTGGATAGTGAACAGGCTACATTAAAGCTCTTTCTCACAAGCCTGAATCTGGTTTGTGCTAGTGAAGTGTCTGCATTTGGTTATTTTTCTGGTCACTGCGTGTGTCCAGTGTTTCTATTAACCCTTCATGCTCTTGTAAGAAATAGAATTGGGGTGATTTGGGGTCAGAGGACTGTGGTTAGCCAGATGGTAATTCTTAAAAAGATATGATTTTGCTTTTAGGCATTATTAATGAAAGAGTGTTCTTGGCCTCCATGAGGCATGGGCCTGGCCAAATGCCAATAAAAGTATATAATGTTAGGACACCCACACATCCTAAACCTTCCCTGTGGTGTACCGTGTAATAAAGGCAACATCTTTATGTACTTTGCAGGGCTGGATGGAGGGAAACGTATTATACTTCTACTTCTTTTCTAATGAGTTTCATATGCTGAAGAAGGACGAAGCTGCTAGCTCTCTGCTTTCAAATCATGCTGGCTGAATGACTTTTTAAATGAGGCAGTGAGGCAGCAAATGTACCATCAAAGCAAGCTGGGACACTGCAGTGTCACGTCCCTGCTTTTTATAACAAAGTTAAAAAAAATTTTTTTTTGATACCAGGTATTGAACTCAGCTCCTTGCACTTAAGGCAGGGGGCAGCACCACTGAGCTAAACCCCTAGCCTAACAGTTAAATTCTATTTTGAGGAGAAAACTCTGAGGAAAGAGAGACTAGATCTTTTAAATTTTCTGTGTAGAATAGTGTCTACAAGTTAGGCCCTCAATTAATGGGGTTGGAGGACTTAAATTAAAAAATGAGAGTTGCTGAGGAAAGCTCTGAGGCCCTGAATGTTTAACCAAGTATGTCCATTCCCCAGGAAGACACTAAGTTCCATACTTGGTGTTCAAAGCAGTACATGGTCAAGGTCACAAAGTGGCAGCCTGTGGACAGCTTTTCTCATGTTTTATTGGCTGGGACATCATTAGAAATATGATCTGACATGGAAACACTGGGCTATGGGGCATCTCTGAAAAGCTGGAGGTTCTGGAAACAGTGGACCAGCAACTTACACAGGACAGGTTTGGAGGGGTTCAGAACCAGTGGCCCTTCACTCCAGGGACTGCAGCAGGTGGGGCCTGTCTTTCGTGCCCTGCCTGGCCCCACAGGCTCTCGGGTTTGGGATCCCTGGATGATGGTGTTAGGGTCACAAGTCAGGGTTCTCCAGAGAGAACAAATGCTGTGTGTTTAGGGACTGTTTCTGTAGACACAAGGATGTAGTAATTCATTCTTAAGTTGCCGTCATGCTTCCTTTGATCTCATGTTTAGACTCTGGTTATTCTGTTAGTCTTTTAAATTCAGCTTGACTTGGCTTTTGGGGAGAGGTAAGAATTTTTTTCTATCTAGTCTCTTCCCGGGTGGGATGACAGAGGACACATAATATTGTTTGTAAATGTCTCTATTTTATATTATCTAAGAACCTTTAGTGCCAATAAACATAAATTTTAAAGTTCAAAAAGTTAAGCAATGGGAAAAATCTCACGGAGATACCCATGTCATTTAAAAGTGTGTACAGTGAAAATGACCGAAGTATGTTATGTGCACATATGAATCTGCCAAAATGCTCACTAATCTGTATAACCAATTTTTAAAAAAAAGCAAAAATATGTAGACAGGCCAAGATGGTATTTCTTACTATTCCATATAGCACAGCACCTTCTGGTCAACAATTACTTTTGGTCCTTGATTGATCACTCTTCACAACTACATTGAAGGTAGCAGAGATGTGACACAGTGCGACTTTTCTCCCTAATGTCTATGACTCTGTGAGGTTTAATGATCAGCATGTTTTTTTCCATAGTTAATCATTAAAGCAGTAAATGACTTCTAGCTTTGCAGCAGTTTTACAGTCCTGAGTACAGCCTGCTCATCTCTGACACAACCATGACTAATACTTCTTTGGAGACCCCAGGAATCTTATTTGAATGAATGTCTCTAAAATACATCCGTGCCTCTGAGTTGTTCTATTATCAATGTTTCTGAATAGATGAAAAACCAAGTGAAATTTGAGTTTTAACCTGTTTTTATCAATGTTTCTGAATAGATGAAAAACCAAGTGAAATTTGAGTTTTAACCTGTTTTTGCTTTAAGCTTTAGCAATATGCTCAGCCAAGAGAAATTGTAACTTGGCTGTGGTATGCCAGAGACCAAATACAACTGTCTCTTTAAGGGAAGTTGTATAAACAAACTGATGGAATCCCTTGGAAAGGCCCCTACTGGGACTAAGGAGGTAAGTGCAAGAATACAAGAATAGACCCTACTTTTATCTTGGGTTTTTTTTTTTTTTTTGGTACTGAGGATCAAACTCAGGACTTTGCTCTTGCTCCACAGGTGTTGGCGCCACTGAGCTAAATCCCCGGCCCTGGACCCTACTTTTAATGGGCCATTTTCTCCCCTCCCTCTGAGCTTTTAGCACTGTCTTAAAAAGTTTTTAGAAAAAAAAAAAGTTGTAGCAGCAGAAATGATTTCACTGGGAATATGAGAAAGAAGCAGAGATTATTTCTGTACAATGTCCCTTGCATTGTTTCTGTTGCAAGAACACTTATTTATTTAGATAAAGACTTACGGAATCAAAGACTTCATGAAAGCCTAGAACATGGGTATTTTATCTCCAGTGACTGAGGTTGGTGTGAGGCTTACTAAGGCACAGCACTAATTGAGAGTTTAAATGTTTATTTAAAACAGAAATGCCAAACCATTCCACCCTCAGTCTTTCCAGCATCTGGCTAACAGTAAGCTACGTCTTTAGCAACAGTGTCAGTACTAGGAGTAACCCAAGTTATACTGTAACTCAAAAGCAAAACTACCAGAAGACGGAAAGCACCTACCACTGCATAAGGAGAAGCAGGACAAAACTCAGGGAGAATTAGCTACAGGAAACCATTCAAAGGCACTTCTGCTGCCTTGCCTCTCACCCTATCCAACGCACTGCTGACACCTTTGAACTGGTTTCTGTTTGCATAGCTGTTTGGTGGGAAAAATATCTGGTTGTCCCAGGCACAATTCAGGAAAGTGAAACTTGTCTCTAAGGCACAGAACTTGGATTCTCAGCCAGATTAACAGCAAACCTAGACCTCCCAAGGGGACATGCCAGAGAAACGGACCACCAAGTTCCACTGCTTAGGGAATGACCCTTCTGGAACAAGAGCGGTGGGGCTCTCACCCCACTTTCCACACACCGTCACCCCATAGTCTCAGCAACGTGGCCATGTTCCTCAGCTCCAGAGCAGAAGTGATCCTCATGACGAAAACCCAAAATAACCCTCCTGCTCAGGCCTGCTGAGATGGCGAGCATGAGGATACAGGAACATGAAAGGTCAGTGAGTCCTTACGAAAACCACAATCACATTTACATGATGAATCAAAACCACTGTTTGGGTTTACAGCAAAACCCCAGACCTTGTAACTTTAATTCAGGGTTGGCCCTTCCCTTATTTTAGGAAAAGGCTTCAGTGATTACATTAGTACTATTGAACTATGCTTCTCAGAATTGAGAAAACAATGGGACATCAATGATCCCATTGGACAGAGTTGCCCTTCCCCAGAGATTTTTTTTTTTTTTTAAACCAGCACCAGCCTATATCACTATTAGTTTTATTGAGATGGTAAAATTTCCCTTGTAGAAGTCCTCCTGCAATATTAAAACAGATTGGTTTGGGGAAAATGCAACAAAATTAGCTCCTTAGAGGGAGGAAGGATTAACAATCAAAACAGCTCCTGTAACCCAAAATACAGGAACATTTCATAAGGCTTTATGGGAATACAACACTCATATCCTTAATGGAAACCATCAAACATTTGCCTAAAACTACATATATGCAGTTTTACTCTTTACTGTTTCCCTTTGGGAAAGCTGATTTGCTGTTGACTACAGAGACACAATAGAAGCGAGTCTGCAGCCAAATTGCTTTCATTTGACAGGTTCTACCTGTTCTATTAGGTTTCCTGGACCCCCAGGGTTTGGTGCTAGCTTTGGGCCACTCAAGTAGGAAAGATGATACGGATTCACTGGTTATAACATGGCTTCAAAAAAACACCAAAAGGAGAGAAATACTGACTAGGCATACAGAGGGGGAGGGGCTGGGGCTGCTGACATCAACATCAGATTCCCCAGAGCCATGAAGGCAGAGGCACAAGTCGTGGTATCACAGCCAGGTAGAAGCACTGAAGGAGGCACTCCTCCCCTCCCCATTTTCCCCTACAACTCTGCCTAAGGCGCCTGACCCAGTTCTCTGAGATACTACTTTCTTCTTCAGAGGCACTTTTCAGAGCTGGGAAATTCCACCCTGCACTGGGCACAGCCTGAAACCCAAGCTATGTGATGAGGATGGATCTGCCCTTTCTCTACTTCTCATTTCATCAACCTTCAAGGGAAAAGCAATTGAAACCCACTTTTCCTCCTAAAACATTTAGCTGCATGGAGTAGCTGAACTTTCTGAAAACTCAGCCTAGACTGATTCCACGAAATTTTCCTGGACTGAAGGCTCCCGAGAGGGCTCAGAATACTTTACCATTTTCCAGAGGACCCTGGGCAGGCTATGCCTGACCCCAGCCCACTCCAGCTTTCCACTTTTCCCTCCCCATCCAGAGGTGCAACGACTGGTGCCGAATTCCCAAGACAGCTTGGAATCATGGTGAAAATGGTAAATGGGATATGAGCTGCTACCAGCGCAATTAAAATGAGCACTGTGTCTCTTCTTCAAAGGTGGGATCAACAGATAAGGTTCAGAGCTGCTGTTGCTATGGCAGTCAGTGATGACAAGGCCAGGGCTACAGGGCCCTCTATTCTCCAAAACAAGAAAATCACTCTAGATCCTATCTAAAAGGCAGTGCCACTCTCCAAACATACAAGGAAAGTGCTCAGAGCCTCTGCCTTGTGCTCCTTGTCTGCAAGTGAACAAAGCAGGAAAGCTGCTCTTTGCATTCGGTAAGTGTGCTGTGAAGGTCTTCGGATCCCAGTTTCCTGGGGGCTATGCAGGCTCAGGAGACTAGAGGCTGGATCGACAGGACTCTGTTCCCAGGAGGCACCAGGAGGAATCTGAATCTAAGTCAGGCTTAGGATCCATTTCCATCTCTTCTTTTGCTGTCTGAGTTCCTTTGGAATGCATCCCCACCTGTTCAGATAGAACACAGTTCCACATTAGCAACAGTGCCACCTGGTCACAGCAGTTCAGGATGAGGTTTTCTTTTTTTTGTTGTTTTTTGGTTTTTTTGAGACAGGGTCTCACTATGTAGTTGAGACTGACCTGGAACTCACTATGTAGCCCAGGCTGGTCTCAAACTCACAGCGATCCTCCTGCCTCAGCCTCCTGAGTGCTGGGAGAAAAATGTATAATATTTTATGTATTATAGAAGCACACAGAGGAAACAAATACAGCAACATATTAAAAACCATTGAATCCAGCTGGGCGTGGTGGCGCATACCTGTAATCCCAACACTAGGGAGGCTGAGGCAGGAGGATCACTGTGAGTTCGAGACCAGCCTGGGCCACACAGTGAGTTCCAGGTCAGTCTCAACTACATAGTGAGACCCTGTCTCAAAAAAACAAAATAAATAAATAAATACCATTGAATCTAGATGGTGAGTACAGTTGGTATTTACTGTAATGTTAGTAAAAAGTAAAAGAAAAAACAAACAGTAACAACAAATAATAACAAAAAATAAATAAATAAAGTTTGGTGAAGAGAATGATTCAGTCCAGGTGCCTGAATAAGGCCTCAGGCTTCTGGGATTAATTACAAAACGCACATCATTCAAAGGTGTGGAGATGCAGAGCAGTAAGTCTTGGTGTTTTGTTTTTCTGAGTCCTCAAAACAGACTTAGAAATTGAATTACCTTCTTAATGCTCTTACCTGCTGCCCTCCTTCTAATTTCTTGTTCAGCTTCTGCAGTTGGGTAAAAATCTGGAGGTTTTCTTGCTGTAGCTTCTGCTGTTCAGCCAAACACTTTAACACCAGACCTTGCAATCTCTCAACCTCCACCTGCAGAGTGCTACACGCACAGGCAGGAGGGGTCAATGGTGCTCCCTTCCCAGCACCTGGTACTGCAGGAGTCAGCAGGGGTGGCTAGAGACAAGAGGGACAGACTGTAGGAGGCTCTGCTCTAGGGACTGCTCCCCAGTCCAAACATACTTTCAAATTAGTAAGGTGAGACATACACATGAAGAGGTGGAAGAGAAACAGAAGAATGCTGGGATTACAACAGCACCTGGCACTGAGGAAGCACAGGAATTCTCAATGCCTCAATCCCTATTAGGCTAAGATACAACAATAGTAACTCACTTTGGAGGATTTTGTGAAAAAAGTTTTAAAGTGTGCTGATATGTTCTCATTTAAAACGCTGCAGTGGGGAAAGGCATGATTTGGTTTCAAAAGAGTCCTGATCACAGTAAGGACACTGTGATTCAGAATCAATATTCATGAAATGTGGTGGCCACAGTGTAGAAAAGATACGAGAGGTATTCAGTAATCACGACTACCAACAAATTAAAAAAAAACCTAACCAACAGCAATGCACATGTGCACCTTGAAGTCTCAAAGGGTTTATTACCTCTTCTGGAAAGGCTTTCAATTATCCCAATCTGGATTTTTCTCCTTCCTCTACTGTACTGTTTATGGCCAACGTCAACAAACAACAGCCCATTGGCCAATTCTGGCCTACTGCCTATTTTCGTATATAAAGTTTTACTGAAACAAAGGCATGTACTCAACTCCTGTGTTATGTATTCCAGGTTGAACATCCCTAATCCGAAAATTGGAAATACTCCAAAATCCAAGTCTTTCTGAGCACTGACATGATACCACAAATGGAAAATTCATTTGACCTCATGTAACAGGTTGTAGTAAAAAAGCAGATACACTAAAGTACTGTATAAAATTATCTTCAGGCTATGTGAAATATAAATTAATTTTGTGTTAAGTCTTGGGTTCCATCCCCAAGATCTAATTATGTGTGTGTATCTACACACACAAATATTCCAAAATCCAAATAATTCAAAATCCAAAACACTCCCGGTCCCAAGAACTTTAGACAAGGAGTACTCAGCCTATGTCCGTGACTGTTTTTGTGCTGCAATGTGACAGCTGAAGAGCTGCAAAGAGAATGGCCTACAAAATCTAAAATAATTACTTTGTGGCCTTGTATAGAAAAAGTTTGGTGGCCCCTGGTTTTGAGATTTCAGGTGTTGACCACAATTTTATTTCTTCCAAGGTTAGGTGTATATGGATCGTTCCCTCACTGGACTAAAACATTATGTTTTACTCATATTTAGAACTTCCAACCCACCCTAGAAATGTCATGAAAAGTTGAATTAGAATTCTGGAACTTCAATTTTGGTACTTCTGAGACAGAAGAAAGAGAATCCTCTGGTGTAGGAAGGTGGCCTGTCAGAACTATGAGAGGGTAAATTCTGTTCTGAGGTAACTCAGTTTAGCCTTGGGCAGAGAAAAGCTTTCAGTGCAGCTGGACAGGCAGTGAGATGACTTGACACAGGGCAGCTGGCTAATGAAGCTGAAGGACAGAGTGTCACCAGCAGAACTGGGCACAGTTGCAGTACGGTCTCCCTAGTTGTGATTCAAAGGCAAAAAGCTCAGTTACCCAGGCTCCTCCTGCAGGGGGCTTAGGCTCCACAGGCACTTCAGAGGCTACTTTGAGTCCTTGCAGCTCTTCATAGGGCAGGGTATCTTTCTCGGATTCAGAAAATGCTCCACTCAGAGGAGATGAGCTGTCTGGCATGGGGATGAATTCTGCATTTTCCAGCTCCTAAGTACATGAGAAAGAAAAGAATCTCATCAGTTCTGTGCAACAAACAATTCACCATCTCCCTAATTTCATCATTTTTGGTCTCTCAAAACAGCAGCACCCTCTAGTGGGCAGATGGCTTTGGTTAAAAAGTATCTTGCCCTACTTGGGAGCAAAGTGCCATCCATCCCTTCAGCAGCCCACAACAGTGATGCAAATTCAAACTCCAATTCAAGACTGTCTGCAGAGTGTGGTGTATTTCTCCAATACTTATTCTACATAAGATACTGCGAGGGGCCAGGGATTTAACTCAGTGGTTCCGCTGCCTGCCTTGCAAATGCAAGGTCCTGAGTTTGATCTCCAGTACCAAAAAAAAAAAGAGATACTGCAAGTTGGGTGGTACCATGCTACTTCCTGTGCTTACACTCTTCAGATAACTATCGAGTTAAGGAACTTTTTTTTTTGGTTTTTGAGACAGGGTCTCACTATGTAGTTGAGACTGACCTGGAACTATATGTAGCCCAGGCTGGGCTCGAACTCACAGTGATTCTCCTGCCTTAGCCTCCTGAGCGCTGGGATTACAGGCGTGCACCACCACACCTGGCTAAGGAACTTTAAATCTATAAAACTTTTTTTATTTTTGGAAAAATTATAAAATTTCAGAAACTGTAAAGGTTCAGTGTACAGAATAAGAAAATACAGATGCTGCTTCTGCTGCCTGTTTCACAAGTGCAAGGTTCCAAGTTCGATCCCCAGTACAAAAATAAAAGAAAGAAAATACAGCAGCAATTTCATTACTCAGAGAAAAATCACTTAAAATAATGAATACATAGTCTTGTCCACATTTTTCTGGGCATTATATATTTTCTCAGAGAATAAGGTCATACAAATATTTCCTTTTCTGCATAGCCATATATTTTAACCAACTTTCCATACAAATATACTTCAACATTTTTATGGTCTGCACCTTAACTTTCATAAACCATTTTCTTACTGTAAGGCATTCTACTTGTCCCATTATTCCATTTCTGTAAGCTTAATCTTTGCACATGTGTGCTATAAAAAGTGCAATTTAGTACTGAGGGTTGAATCCAGGGCCTCTGAATGGAGCTATTCCCCCAATGTGTTCCCATCCCATTTATTGTTTGAGACAGAGTCTTGCTAAGTACCCAGGTTGGGCTTGAACTTGCAATTCTCCTGCCACACCCTCCCAAGTGCTGTGATTATAGGTGTGAGCCACCATGCCCAGCTCAAGGTAGGTTAATTTACATCCATTTAAGTATTATAGGTATGAGAATATTTTGCATCTCTTTGTTAGAAAGAAGAAAAAATTAGTGATTTTGTGATTTATTTCTAGGTAAAAATCAGAAACTTTAGTCCCTGCAAATGGCCTGATATTTTATCTGAGGCATCTTTCTAAGGAATTACTTTTTGCGCATGCCCATAATCTCAGCACTCAGGAGGCTGAGGCAGGAGGATCACTGAAAGTTTGAGGCCAGCCTGAACCACAACACAAGATCCTATTTCAAAAAAACAAACGAAAATAGCGGGTGGGATGAATTACCTTTCGAAGCCAGCCAGGACAGGAGCTGCTGGCCCCACAACTATTCCCCATGGGCTCTGTGGGACTGATGAAACCTTCCATTCCTCTGTCTGCTTCCATTGTTCCTCGAAAGCCTCCACTTGGATCGGGAGTTTCAGACTCCTGCTGACTGTCCTCCTCCTCACCACCACCACCACAGCCGCCTCCTGGGCTAGAGCTCTGAACCACTGCCAGATACACAGCACAGAAGTAGAATTTTACTATGCAGCAAGAAAGATTTACCATCTGCTGTCCCAGGATAGCATGACATGGAATGGCAACAGTACAAGTCAGCCATCTCAGACTAAATTTTAGTTTTTACATAAGGTATTTGTATATCAGGATCTTCATGACAATAAGTCACTTCCAAACTTGTTTATCCTATATCCATACAGATTACCAATATTCTAATATCATGCAAACAATCCCTTAAACCGTATGTCACCATGCTTATTCTGCATTGCGTGTGTGTAGTACTGGAGATGGAACCCAAGGGCACTCTACCACTAAGCCATGCCCCCAACCCTTTTTATTTTTGTATTCTGAGACAAGTTATTGCTAAATTACCCAAACTGGTAATTTGGTGTCAAACTTTCAATCTTCTTGCCTCACCCTCCCAAGTGGCTGCGATTACTGCACCTAGTTTTACTCTGCATCTTTAACAGAATCACTCAGACTCTAGCATCCTCCATTGATATTTGTCTTATATAAAAAATTCTGACATTTGAATTAAACACTTCTCAAAGTTGCCAGATAAACCACTGCAAACTTTTTGTCTAGAAACAACCAAATGATGAATTCTTCAACAAACATGTAAGTATTAAACTCTTTGATGATTAGTTATATGAACTTTTAGAATATTGTAACTATCTTTTTCCTATCATGCAGTACATTCCAAGCTACTATAGTGAAGACTAGCTGGTATGTATGTGGTCAGGAAGTGAAAGTAAATTTTAGTATGGACCAAAGAAAAATGTTAAGAGCTGGGCATGGTGGCGCACGCCTATAATCCCAGCACTTGGGAGGCTGAGGCAGGAGGATCGATTGCTGTGAGTTCGAGACCAGCCTGGGCTACATAGTGAGTTCCAGGTCAGTCTCAAACAA